ATCACTACTGTGGCATAAGCCCAGCTGGTCACTGAGCCCCACACAGCTGCTTGCTCACTCCACCGCAGTGGAATGGGGGAGCGAATCAGAAATGTAAAAGTGAGAAAACTCATGGGTTGAGATAAAGACGGTTTAGTAAGTAGAGGAAAAGCCATGTGAACAAGCAAGGTAAAGCAAGGAAATCATTCACCCCTTCCCAGGGGCAGGCAGATGTTCAGCCATCTCCAGGAAAGCAGGGCTCCATCACACGTAATGGTGATTTCATATGGTCTCACCTAGCCCTTGGGTCGTTTGGGATCAGCTGCCCCAGCTGTGTCCCCTCCCCAGTCTTGTGCACCACCACCCTCCTCACTGGTGGTGTGGTGTGAGGAGGCTCAGAGTCTCTGGAAACACTGCTCAGCAAGGGTGGGAACATCTCTGTGTAATCAACACTGTTCTTAGCACATATCCAAAACATAGCCCCATACCACCTACTGTGAAGAAAATTAACTTTATCCCAGCCAAAACCAGCACATTCTTTACCCCGTATTCTGTACTGCTTATGTCATGCTCAGGTACTACACTATTCAGCACAGCTTTTTTAACCACCCTCCCTTCCCATCCTTGGATGTGTAATACACAGCTATCATTCCCTTAGTCCCTTCAGGAGTAAACCTGCCCCAACATGGCCTTGCCCATGGCTGCAGTCTCTCCAGGAGTGTGCTTGCTTCTTGTTTATTACTTTGTTAATCCACTGAGAAGCAATATTAATTGATCCTGATACTGGAAAACTGGAACAGAATTCAGATGATCAGCCCTGATACCTTAAGCAGAAGACCATTGAACCCTCTGAAACTGCTATTTTAAGAAAAAAAATAATAATGTGGGACTACAAATAACAGGATCCATTACTTAGACTAAAATTTGTCTGTTCTTGTAGTAGTGGAGAGAGAAATGGGTGGCCTCGGTTATCTGGGTTGCTACTGGAGATGGAGACATACAGAAAATGGTCCTGCATGGATCATTTATCCATGGCCACACACTTTGTGATGTTCTAGCATGATCACTAATGACCATCAGCACAGCTACCGATGCTTCAAGGTGTACCTGCTGCAGCGCAGACTTCTCCACATCCACAGATGCTGTACCTCATACTTGGGCCCTACTCTCTTCAGAGGTATACCTGCTGTGACACAGACACAGCCATGGCTACAGATGCCTTGAGATGTACCTGCTGTGGCTTGGACTTGTTTGCAGCTGCAGATGCTTTGGAGTGTCCTGCTGCTGTGTGGACTCATCCACACACCAGAGGCACTTTGACTCAAGTTCACACTGGAAGTTCAGCCTGTCTAGTACACTATCACAGAAGCAGCGGTGATGCCCTGGCCATCTGCCAGCCTACGCACATTGCAGTTGCTTTTATCAAAACGTCTCCAGGCACAGCAGAGTAAGACGATAAGTAGTACAGCAACCACTAAAAGCAAAAAGCAGCCACTAACAAGCACTAGACTGCAATATACAATAAGGCAAGCAAGCACAGAAGCCTGCACATTAATAGCTAAATAGCCTAGTACATTCTAATCAAATCTATTGTTACCTTGAACCCTTAAAGCCCTTTGTTAGGCACTGAAAAGGACTGTCATGGTTTAAGCCCAGCTGTCAACTAAGCCCCACACAGCTGCTTGCTTACTCCACCCCTGTAAGCTGGAGGAGAGAGGTGGAAGAATAAAAATATGAAAACTCATGAGTTGAAATAAAGACAGTTTAATAGGTAAAAGAAAAGTCATGTGCACAAGCAAAGCAAACTAAGGAATTAATTCCCTCCTTCCCATGGGCAGGCAGGTGTTCAGCCATCTCAGAATCACAGAATTGCTTACATTGGAAAAGACCTTTAAGATCATTAGTGTAACACTGACAAGCTCTCAACTAAACCATATCCCTAAGCGCTATACCTACATGACTCTTAAATACCTCTGGGGGACTCCACTACTGCCCTGGGCAACCTATTCCAGTGTCTGATAACCCTTGCAGTAAAGAAATTTTTCTTAATAGCTGATCTAAACCTTCCCTGGTGCAACTTGACCCCATTTCCTCTTGTCCTGTCACTTGGTACTTGGTTGAACAGAATGACCGCCAGCTCTCTACAACCTTTCAGGCTGTTGTAGAAAGCAATAACATCTCCCCTGAGCCTCCATTTCTCCAGGCTGAACAACTCCCGTTCTCTTCAGGAAAGCCGGGCTCCATCACGTGTAATGGTGACTTGGGAAGACAAATGCCATCTCTCCGAACATTCTCCCCCTTCCTTCATCCCCCAGCTTTATATGCTGAGCATGACATCATATGGTATGAAATATCCCTTGAGTCAGTTGAATAGCTGAAGAATAGCAGTAGCTGCTCTCCCAGAGGATCATTATGATGAAATAGTGCTTTAGAAAGAGGCAACCGTAGACAGGGAGATTAAGGTATTTCATTAATTTCAGAAGTTTTTGAAATAACATTAGCTTTGCTTTTGCTTCACAGGCTGACTCTCAAAATGCCTCTGGACGCACTAGTGAAGGTAAAAATAACCTTGATTAGCAATGTCATGATTTCTGTGAATAAGGAAGTCAGCAGGCTCTTTTAGCACTTTCACTTAGTGAATTCATCTCCAAAGTGTGTAAAAACCTGACTTTCTTGAAGGCTCTACTCATAAACCTTTTAGACGACTTGGTATAAAATTGGTACAAGTCTTGACAAAGATATTAAATGTGTGTTCAGCTATAAAAAAAAAGGTACCACAATGAAGTGCTGTTTTACTTCCACTTGGTTTCTTTAATGAAATACCAGGGGTGAGAATTATGTGTAGATCTTAGGCTGCATTTGTTCACTTACATTTATTTTGTTGCTTTTTGGTTTTGTGGTTTTTTTTCCCTAAAACCCCAACATAGCTCCCACTTGCCTTTGGACACTAAGCGAACATTTAAGCCGTCCCACGATAAAAGCATGTAGAGAAGCACCTCGACCTGGAACTTCACAAAGAGATAAGGGAGATGTGTCAGAAAGCAGGTAAAGGAGATGTATTTTAATATTTTCTTAAATTGGGCAGTTACATCAGTCGCTGTCTCATAGTATGCTACTTGGTATTTCTTCTCCTTTCTTCTTACATAAGAATATATAGACAAGAACCTCAACCTGGAACTTCACAAAGAGATAAGGAAGATGTGTCAGAAAGCAGGTAAAGGAGATGTATTTTACTATTTTCTTAAATTGCGTGGTTACATCAGTCGGTGTCTCATACTATGCTACTTGGTTTTTCTTCTCTTTTCTCCTTACATAAGAATATATAGACAAGAACCTCAACCTGGAACTTCACAAAGAGATAAGGAAGGTGTGTCAGAAAGCAGGTAAAGGAGCCGTATTTTACTGATTTCTTAATTCGTTGCTTGAACAGTTACATCAGTCGGTGTCTCACAGTATGCTACTCGGCATTTCTTCTCTCTTCTTACTTTACTTGCTTGATTTTAAAAGCGGTAAAGCCTGATGTGAGAAGGAAAATTGAGACATCACCTGAAGAGTGTTTACACCAAAATGTAGTGTCTCTGCAAGTTCAGCAGATACTAGAAATTACAGTAAGAAAACAGTGAGGTTCTGAAGGATGTTTTAACTGAGTCTGCATGGAGGTAAAAACATCAGTATTCCTACAGCATAGTTCCTTGTGATAATAAAACTATATGTATCCACAAGGCTATGAGTGATCTTTGGAGAAGTGTCCCTTCCTGATGTCTTGTAGTGGTGGTGTATTGCAGTAAAATAAAGTCTGTTTAGTTTGAGAGCTGGTTACTCCTTGTCATTTAATAAGAAAAGAGTTACAGAGAACCACCCAGCTTCAAAGTAAAGACAAATTCTGATTAAAAGCTGTCATATCCAAACTTATGTCCTGAGAAAAAAAGGTCATCTACAGTTTAAAGGATAATAATTGTCAAATGGGGATGTGCCATTACAACTCATACAAGACAGGGCCTGAAGTACTAACTTGCACTGGCTTCAATCCAGAAAGCGGAACTGTGGCTATTTAAAATAAATAATTAGTTAATTCCTTCCTCCCCATTCCTGTGTTTGAGTATACGTACACATACACACACACTTGCGTCTCACTCTCTGTGTGTCTCTCCCTCTCTCATTCTTTTTCAAAAAACCCCACTGCAACCCCAAAAACTTCCTTTGAAGAACTCATATTAACCTGATTATTTTCCAGGGAAACCCTCAAACTTGCTGCATTAAGTTTCTTCTAAACAAAATTAGTTTGGTTTTAATTTTTTCAACTGAGGCTGAGGTCTTCAGTTACATATGGCCTAATTTTTGTGTTTAAATTGTGGAACTACAGAGGTACGGTACTGCTGTCCTGCACTGTCAGTGTGCTTCCCTAAGCTGGTTCAGACAGGCTAAATGGCATGATTTGATGCTGCCACAGGTTGATAAATTCTTTGCCCTGTTGCTGCTAATAATTGGCTAGTTGGTGTTTGAGAAGAGTAGCCTGTTGTTGAATGTCAGTATTTTGGGCCTTGCAAAAAGAATTCAATGAAGTGCCACTGCTTATTTGAAAAAGATGGGTGACACGGTGTTTGTGCGAAAAGCTAAGGGGAATACTGGTAGCCACAGGGCAGGATGTCAGCTTGGTTCTCTTCCTCTATGTGAATTAAAAAATGCAGCAGCGTCTTCTGTCAGTGACTTTCCTCTGTGGAGTGCCTTCATATTAAGACTGGCATCTGGGATCAAGTCCTCGCATACCACCTTTACTATGAGATCATGAAGCAGCCTCCTTCAATTCTGTTGCATCTGGGTTTTAATTTGCTTTTATGTAATACTTCCAGTTCATCTAAGTTTTATTATATAAAAAATGAGAACTGGATGTGTGGGGTAGTGTTACTTATCAGATGCTTCAGAGCTTCATCTTCAGCTGTTTGCTAATTTAATCTCTAAATTATTGAATCTTCTTCAGCCATCATGAGTTTATTGCCTTTTCCAGTTATGGTTTTCTTTATATATGCATATTCAATAACTATAGAAGGATATCAGCTTTTAATAACTCTGTAATTTTAAACCTTTTCTACAGTGGGGTGGGAAAAGTTGCTTACTTTCTCAGCCCTTTGTGGCTTCCACATATGTGATCGATTACTACTCTCTAAATTTAACGTAACAAATGTCTGATTTTTATTCCCACAAAATGGAAATGAGGTAGATATCTTCATTTTATAATTGCCAAAGCAACCTTTCTGAGTTTTTTCCTCTTAACAAGGAGTTATCCATTTTTAGATACAGTTTTCTGCATTCTTCCTATTGAATGCATGTGATAAGCACTTTATAGGTGGTCATTAAAGAATTTCCCCACTGAGATCACTGAAATCATGTATTAATCTAAAAGATTAAAGGATTTATCGTAATACATCCTGCAGGCTGGAACTTGCTTCTGTCACACCTGAAAGCTTTGAAGATGCAGAAGCACCTGAGGAGAGTACTTGTGGTGAGGTTGAGGAACAGGAGGCAGATGAGACCCAGTGTCTGTCAGCAGCAGAGCTACCTGAATCATGCCTTGAGAAAGAGAGTGATCAGGAGGTGAGCCAGATGTGATAGCAGATGGGTTTGGAATACAACTACAGTTTCTATTAGACGTGGTCTTTGCTGCCTTGATCCATGTGACTGTCGATGCTTTGTTTTTCATACCAATGCTTCATTGAGAAGTATATCTGAAAAGGTAGAGCTAATACAGAATAATTTTGCAAAATACTCCATTATACTTATTTTGAACAAGAGTTCATAGGATCTTTTTTCTGTCTTATCCACCAACCTGATTTTCTGAATTGATTTCTCCTACTCAAATATTACAGAGAATGGGAATAAGGTCAAGATACGATCCAGTATCTCTAATTTTTTTTTTTTTTTAAATAATTTATTTGTAGAAGCCGGTAGCTGGTGTGCTTCAGTGACTACTATTGGCTCTTTTTGCTTGTCCTGTTAAAGGTTGCCTGCATTGATGTTTAAATATAACTTCTGTCTACAGTTTGTTAACATTCTCATTTTAAGTCTGTGAGTACCCTTTGTGCCTGATGATGCCTCCGGGTTTTTTTTTGTGGTCTTACTGATGGGTGACAAAGTGGATCTTACACAATGTTGCGTTCAAAGGATGAGTGCAGCCTATATGATTGTGAGCTGCATAAAAACTGCTTGACTTGGCCTTTAACAGTGAAAACTGTGGTCAGAAGTTTAGTGCAGGTGACAACAGCAAGCTAATATGCCGATTAAGTTAGTTACTATGCACTAAGCTCCGCCTTCTTAGTACAGTTCAGGTGCCTGAGCTATCTGCTTCTCATGTTAAGCCAAAAATTTAGCTCACAGATATACCCACTAGTGTTGAGGAACAATGACTGGACATAATCTTGACTTGGAAATGTGATTTTATTTTTAGGAAATTCCATCAGAACCTCTTAATGGTGAGGTAACAGAAGAAACTGATAACACCCCACTTTTGGCTGGAGAGAAAACAGCAAATGAAATTCCAAGCAGTGAATCAAAACTGCAGTCTGAGAATCAAGAAGAAGAACCAGTAACAGTATTTATTCCGGTAATGCTTGAGTCTCAGGCAAAACCTTCCGCAGACAGTATGTCAGAGAAGGTGAGAGAATTGAAACCAAATGTGAAGTCATCTTTCCTTCAGAGTGTACCTATCTTGTTTTTTTCTTTTGTTAAGAAACAGGTAGAAAGTAGCACCTGCCGTTGTATGAAATTCTTGGGAGAAGCAGTTATTAGGCCAGATGAGATAAATCCGTAAACAGAATATACTGAAGTTTCTGTTATAATACGCAGAAGTGGAGCATGTGTGCCTGTGATACCAAACAGAAAGATGTATTGCTCCAGTTTGCCTTGGCAGTAATAAAACAGCTCTTTAACACTAAAATACTAGTTAGATATGAGTGAAAAGCTACTTCCTTGTTTTGTCTAGTAATTCTGCCCTGATGAAGTCTACAAGCAATTAATTACTGGTAAAATACCCTACTAGAACATAGATTTTACTGGATTTTGTTTGTAGTGCAAAAGCAGATAGTTATATGCTAGCAAATTGATAATTGCTTATGTCTAAAATAAAATAAAAAAACCCACAACTTTTTTTCCCCTGGGTTTAATTTCAGAATATTTTTACTGTACCAAATAATCCTTTGAATGATTTGAATCTGAAGTAGAGGAAGCAACTCCAGATACCACAGAATCACAGAATATTAGGGATTAGAAGGGACCTTGAAAGATCATCTAGTCCAACCCCCAGAGCAGAGTCACCAGTATGCTCTATCTTTATCCTTCTGTAATGCATTTTCAAAACTCCTGGAGTTGATATACCAGTAGCTGCAGTTTGCAAAATAGTCTCATGCAAAAAGGAGAAAAGGACTGGTTTGTTTACTGTACATGTAGCATTAAAAACTGCTGGATGCTGCAATATCCTCAGAGGTTGCTGTCTAGGAACAGTAGTCGTTCATACTCTTGTATCTTCAATTAATTGTCCCTTTGGTTGTTTTGGCACTCTTCCCCTCCCCCCACAGGTTTTAAATGCAAATGATTCAGAAGTGCTGACTGAGGAAAGTGTGCCAGTAGAGGAGGAGGGTACTGAAGAGCAGCAAGAATCTGAAAAGAACACCAGTGAAAAAGCAGCTGCTTCCGCATCGAAGGAAGAACGCTCTGACAATGGCCTGCCCGACTCTGCAGTAACGCAAACAGCAGAAGAATCTGTTTTGGAAAACATATCATCAAAACCGGCTTCCTCGTCGGAAGACCAAAATGAGGAAGCAGGGCACAGCTCACAGGAGGCTTCTGTTCCCTTGAGTCAGAGCTCTTCGACAGCGGTTGAACTCGAGGATGTTTCTCTTCAGCAGCCTTCTGGACAGGAAGGACAGAAAAACCAGTTGGAAGAGCGCTCAGAGGAGCCTCTTGAGCAGATAGATCAGTGCACGCAGACAGCAGTGGAGCGGGCTGCTGACAGCAGCTCTGAGGAGACCGAAATTGAGATACCCGTTATAGATCGGAGAACCTTGAGAAGAAAGGCCAAAGGCTACAAAGGCCCACCCAAGAAAAAAGGAAAGCCAGCTTAGAAATGAAGTCTTGATTGTTAATTAATCTATTTATATGAAAGTTATTATTTTGTGTAAAACACTTGAGTGTAACTAAACCATATGGGAAATGGGACACACGTGTTTAAAATTCTATCTTGGACTGACTCTTAGGATTCATCACCTTTGCTGAAGTTTTCTGGAATTTTTAACCACTAGACATTGATTATCATCAGAGTATTAAAATAAACAGCCAGTCTTCTCCTTTTATAAAGGATACATGCTGATAAATACAGTTGTGCTAGCAAAGGGAGCAGCTGGCATATTTGTGGTGGCAGTTGTGGCAGAAAAATGCAGCATGAAATCCTGGCCCTACCAAGGTCCCGTAAATTCCCCTAGACTTCCCTGAGGCCAGTCACCGTTCTAACTTTGTTTTTAATAACTGTTCTCTAAAGCAGAACAAGAAAAATCCTTCCTCATTTCTTGTTCCCTCCCCATAGATTTTCTCAGATGAGATGAAAAGAATGTAAGATTCTGTAATCCTGGGTCTCAAAAGACACAAGAAAGTATAACTCACTAGATACAAGCAGCATCCGTCTTTTATGAGAATCACTTGAAACAACTGAGGCAGTAGAAATGCGGTCACTGGGATGCCTGCCCGTTCTGATAATGAAAATATGAAGGTTAAGAGATGCCTACACAAGCAACTATTTGCAGCTTTCAAAGCGAGCATCTTAGCAAGCCTGTTTTTGCAAAGTGAGTGGAGTGTGGACTCCAGTACCTATACGGAACTGTTTGAACTGCCTACCTAGCTGCTTGTATGTGTTGAGTGGATACCTGATTACTTGTTACGTTACACGAAAAGGATATTAAAACACGAAAAGGATATTAAAACATTTAATCTTGTTTTGGTCTGAATGGAAGCAGTGTTTTGTGTTTTCCAAATACTTGGCTGGTGCTGTAGGGTAACTACTAAAATGTTGTATCTGCCAGATGTGTGACTCCTGTTGAGTGCCGGCAGTTCAGGTTGTTGTTGTATTCATTAGGGTGAATATTAGGGGATGTTTCAGCAAATGCCTGTTTGCCAAACTACTATGCCTTTAGGATTTAGCGGGCGTTTGCTTGCAAATGCTTCTAACTCCCACTGTAATTTTGTAATTTGGGTGTAAACCCTGGGGATAATGTTTTCCAAGTTAAAAGCTTTTCTTAAAAGCAGCAATGAAACTTTGCTGTACATCAACAGAAATAAAAACAGGGCTTTCATGCATGTTTCCCTTCAGATGTTCTCCTGGCAAACCATATATTTAACTTAATTTGTCACACATTAAATTAATTTTCTCTTTAGTTTGTTATGTGTTTGGTGTTTTTTTTCAATAAATAAAGCTTCTCTCATAGTGAGTTAAAAACTCCAGAATGACAAAGAGCAGTGGTTCTAAGAACAGGAAATCGCACCATTTGCCCTGTTATATATCTTTTCTAAGGAAGTGAGCTAGTTTCCCACAGTGTCTCAAAAATAAGAGGTACCTAGAAATTGGTGTTCAGGACTTGTGAGTACAAGGTTCACTTGAATAGTTGCAATGCTGTCTTAGCTTCTATCCCTCTGTGAAGATAATGTAAGAATCTGGTTCTGGATTTCATGCTTATGCAGTTTAACTGTAAGATATTTTAACTGTATTAGATACATTCGTACTATTCCTTTCAGCTGATGAAGTATCATACTCCATTTTAATCTGTTAAGAGCAGTTTATATAGGGAGAGGGAAAAAAAGCAGTTTTCAAGAAACTTGCATTACCTAAACTTTAGATTCAGGGTGCATGGGATTACCGAGTTAAATCTTGGTTTCTTGAATTACTGCACGTAGTTGTAACTTCCTATCAATGTACATACAGATACTTCTTATGAACCCCATGACTGGGAAATACTCATAATCTGTCATGTTTGTTTGTAAGGGAACCTTAAGCATTTCTGAAACTAATGAAGCGTTTTCAGTAAAGTACCTAAGAAAAAACTTCTATTATCATGTAGAAGAATAAAGTGGCTAGAAAACGCATCTATAGTATCACTAAGAATTGGGGATTTGTGAGGGCTGGTTGCTTAAAAAAGGACAGTTGCGTAGGGTATGTTGTGACTCATCTTGCATTTTTAGAGCAAGGTTTACTAAAGATTAATCTGCCAAATACTTCAGTTGATACAAATCTACCACCTTTCAAAAAGTTAGGATTCTTGTGCTTATGAAAATTGAGTTCCAGTTATTTCAAGTACTTCTAGGGGGATTTTTGATATGTATGTTTATCACCGGATTCCTTGTCAAACTGAAAAGCAGTGTTCTTGAGTAGGTAATGTCATTAATCTGGCTTTTAATTTTTGTCGATAAGTTGGAATTGGTTTTGATATCTTAAGACGCATATTGAATACATAAATATTGCAAGGTTATTAGATTGGTTCAGTCTTGATTGGTTTCTGCTGAGAGTTGTCAGATTTCTGATTATGTTTCACTGGGACGCTTTAAATGCTGAACTTCACTTGACGTGTTCGAGTGTGATCTTGAGTACGTGCCTCAGCACATCTGGGGTCCTTGAGAGAGCAGCTGGTGCCCGGGCTGTTGTGCACAGAGTGTGAGCAGTTGGGGTGCCAGCAGCAGTTCTGATAACTGGACGTTCTAGAAAACTGGGCGCTGTTCTAGTAGTCACCGCAGCAGCTCTTGGAGCCAAAGAGTGCGGGTTTTTAACAGAAGAACGTATTTGGTATCAGTCGACTTGCAGTAAACATGGAGTAGCAAAATCAAACTACTTGAACAGGTTTTAGTGCCGCATTGACTGTCCGTGTGGAACAGGAATGATCTGTACCTTCTGGTCCATTACTGCAAGGGAACATGCATGGCGACTGTGTTGACTGAAGCCCTTCACCTTAGGAAAAGCAGTCCTTTTTAGGCTTGGCCAGTGCATTTTTAGGTCTGTTAGCTGCCTGTCTTACTAGCATTAAACTCTTACAGAATTTTTAAGATCTTACTGCACCAGCAACCAATGATTAAAACGTCACATTTATACAACATGCTGTAGAACTATGTATGTACAGTGAAAGCAAACGTTGTTTTTGAGCTTTACGTAGTCTAGGAATGGACTTCAAAGAAAGTAATTTTGTGAGTTCAGTCTTGCACTTAAACGGTAAATGGTTTTGTATTTGAATCCCAACGTTCATTCAGATGTCTCTCTTGTACTGCTTGTTCGTTTTTAACAGGATTTGGTTTGCTTCACTCACATTCTTTTTTGGTCTGTGTTCATTTCATGCAGAATTATTGTTTGCTGTTCTCAATGTCTCAGAGCCTTTTACGTGAAGAGTGTATGTCTTCTTTCAAAAGTTGCTTTTTAACTTACTTGAAATGCTGCGTGACCTGTCTCCTGTTTAGTTTGTACATGTCAGTAATCAAACTGATCATTTACAAAATCGTCAATGCAACTAAGTTATTGTAGCAACAAGTAGGCTACGTTTCAGCCTCTCTACTCTAAGTGATCGCTCTGTTTCCCAAAAGACACACTTCTAAATTTATTTTCACAAATGTAGCATTAGATGTTTTCTAAATGAGTGATACCCTGTTTATAAATCTTACAAAAGGTATGTTGCTATTCTACCAATATTGTACTTGAGTCTTGTTACAGTGTTAGTTTTTCCTTTTTTAGTACTGTCTTGGCTGCTATTGAAATGTTCTGAAGTAGTAATTAAACTTATATTTTGCAATTATTTTTTCTTTTGTTTTAGTATTTGAGTCCTTTCTCCTATACAGCAGGCAGATTTTAAAGGGGTTCAGTTATCTAGAACTAGCATAGTTTTGCAATTTATCTGCTACCAAGGAGCTTGCAAATTATTCATTGAAAAATCTTTTATTGATTAAACGGATTTCTTCTACTTAATTAGCTGGTGCATCAGATTTTTTAAAAAAACTGTAGAATAGGCGGTTCTGAATGTTACGGCAGGCACTTCTGCTCTTTATGCCAACTACGCAGGATGATGTAAACTTAACAGTTATTAATGTATTTTGTTAGGGGCAAGCCAACTCTTAAGTGCTGTAACACAATCCTTGCAGTGCCGTACATTAAAATGTCGTGTTACTCAGCCAACAAGTCATTATATTTAGAGCACAAAATGTAGTAATATTCTTGAGACAGCTGTAGAAAACACAAGTTGATGTTGTTTGTTAATGTGCAGTAAAGGATAAAACAACAGGAACTTATATGTAGGTTTATCTGTTTTGAGAAAGTGCGCTCTCATCAGGCAAATGACTTCCTGGCTTGTGATCCTTCTTTAGTTTGAAATCACTAGTCACTGCACCAAGAAGTAAAAAGAGTAAGTTATGAAGTCTAGACTGGGGCAATATGTTAAACAAACAAAGTAGAGAAGTACTGACTCTGTCAGATAGTGGTAACACCACCTAAAACTGTAGATAAGAGAAGTTGGAAAGCTTGCATGAAAGCAGCTGGCTTGGCTTCCTGGCCAGAGTTTCAGATCTGAAACACGATCTGGTTATGAAGATGATCGCCTCTGTCGGCAGCAATGCCGTTGGGATCAGCAGCACCAGGTCGCAGTGCCGGTGTTTGTTTCAAAGGCACGAAGGGGGAAAGTGGTCAGCAAGTCCTCTTGCTTGTTTGCCGTGAGCCTCCTTAAGTAAACGCACCCGCTGTCCCCAGGCCCACTTTTTGGGGACAGCGGGTCTTGTTTGTTGGTGAGTTCTTTTTCTGTGGCCGCAGGGATGTTTGCCTGCAAGTCTGCTTTAGGTTCTACCCTGTTAATATGTTGGACAGATAGTTCTGCCTTTGGGGCTACCTTCTGCTTGCTCCTCCATGCACGAACGAGCTTCTCTAGTACCGCGGTAGGCATCCCATCCATTGCATCTCGAGGAATTCCCCTTCTGACTCCTTCCCCCCACAGCAAAGTTCTTTTCATCCCGATTTCTTGGGGAAGGTGGCTGTTCCTTTAGTTTACCAACTCCTGCCGTTACTCCCATCCTTCTATAAAATTAACTCTTGAGCAATTTCTCCCCAGGTTAG